AAATTTGAAACTGTAGTCAGCCCAACCTTACAGCAACGATACCGGCAGCGTCGCTGCGCAGCTCCGTTCTCCGTGTATTTTTCTCCGGGCAGCCTGAGTTGTGGTGCATCCTATATATACGCTTAATACGGTACTAGGAGTAAGTAGCATCTACGTAGAAACGGGCCCGGAGCCCAGAAATGGAACGGGTCGCTGACGTCCCAGCACACGGCGAGTCCAATCGGGACCCTTCTGACTTTGCTCTTACCAATAAGAATCTTGTTTGTTGCTACGTGTGCCGCCTAATCAAGTCGCGCAACCAGGTGCGGTGTTTGTTGCGGTGGAGCGTTGAGGACGCTGCTCAGCCGATTCCCTTTTGCAGTTCCATGATTCGGGTTGTGACAACTGTAAATAAAATCTTTTTGGACCTAGCATTTCATTTGAGGACTACACGACACCAAACTTCTCGGGGTAGGGACTGAGGCTTAAAAATCGGGGACTTTGTTCTTACGGGCGAGGATGGAGGCAGTGAGAGGATTCATAAGCTCACGTCTTGTAGCCTGGCGTCGTATAACCACAGCACCTGCACAGCCCATGGAGTGTACGACAGTTGCGACGATCGTACAAGCTTCGGCTGCTTCAGTCATCAACTCATGCGAGCGGTGATAACATCGCAGAGCCTTGCGGCTTTGACAGCTGCGGCGCCGTCACCGCCGCCGCTGCTGCTACTGCCGCCGCCGCCGCCGCCGCATGCGCCCCAGCGCCGCCGGGCCTCTGCGGCGACGCAACGGAGGCGGCCGCCACAGCGGCCCCCGTCGCCACCACCCTCCCATCGCCGCCGCCACCTGTCCGCCCGCTACAGCTCCCCAACGCGCAATCAGCATTGGGCTCCAGCTACAGCCACAGTCACAGCGTCACCTCACCCTCCACGCCCTCGTGTGGTGGTTTCGGAGCCTTGAGCGGCGCACAGCAGTACATGGCGAGAGCGCATGAGGAGGTGACGGTGCTGTTCGCAGGTGGGTTGCCGGTGGGGTGTGTTTGAACTGTGTGTGGCGGTGGTTCGACATAGCGCCCGGGGTATTACGACAACGGTTTCAACTGACGACAACGGTTTGCCGTACTTTACCGTAACTGACGCACGGTCCCTCGCTTACATAATATACAAAATACACTGTCACCATGAGCTGCTTACCTTTTTATTATAATGGATGCTTGAAGTTTTTGAATTTTTTAATATTTTGTTATACTCGTAAAGTTGTGTCTTCATTAGTCTCTTCCTACCCCATGTGCACGTGTAATTTACGTGATGATGGTTCGAATTCTCTATGTGCCGTACACAGACATCGCCTCCTTCACCAGCATGTGTGGTCAGGTTCCGCCCCACCGAGTCATGGCGTTCCTCAACGACCTCTTCACCACTTTTGACCAGCTGGTGGAGAAGCATCAAGTTTACAAGGTCGAGACCATCGGAGGTACTGCATTGTACGGCATCGTCGTACATATCATAGTACGGAAGTGTACGGGACTGAGGCGATGCCGTTTTTGCATAATTTGGCGGAACGGCTGCCGAGAAGCGTGACTGTGTTACATTCCAGACCAGGTGTATCCTATCTTGTGTGTTCGATAGGCGCTCTCCTGTTCGATCCTTTTTTCATAGCTTTTGATACCTGTACCAAACCATCTTTTTCATATCCTCGTCTTTGGAAAACTGTCGCAAACGCTGCTTAATCTGGAAGCT